TAATATTTGAAAAAAAACATTTTTCCAGTTAGGTTTTTAAACATATAGCCTTTAGTGATAGAATAAATGTCAAAACACAACAACTTTTAGCAGTAAAGAATTTACTCAAGTCAAAAGAAAATTAATCGTTAATTATCGCACCAAATATGGTAATATTTCCTCACGTGATCACTTAGTTCAATGATCACACTTTCAAACTGTAGCCAGTACTGAAACCTATCATTTTGGCAAACATCATCAGCATACACCCATTCGATTTTTTTAAAATCTATTTTTCTTTATTTTTTTGCTATTTTATTCAATTAGCCATTCCTTAGACATGCTGAGGAATTTAACTAGCTGAGAGTGCACAACTCTTTCAAGCAGATTTGATATTACTGAAATTGATACACACGGGATTTTCGTTTGCCATGATGTTTATAGATACACATTATAGAGGAATGTATTTATTTACTATGCGAAGAATAAACGTAATATAATGTTACACATTTTTTTTTTTTTTTAATAATGAGAATTTCGTCCTCAACAGGGATAGAAAAATGCTTCTAGGAAGATGTCATGAAGCAGGGCAACAACTATGTGTTATATTACAAGGCTCAACAGGAAAGTAAGTAGCTAATATAACTATTTTAGGATCTATTCTCTTATTTCCTTTCACAACCCGCTAGAATAAAAGGGTGGTAAAATAATAATTCAGATTTTTTTGTGTCTTGTGATGGGTTTTTTGTTTCGCCCTAAAGGCCGAAACGGTACTGTATCCACTTTGCTAACACGCTATATTCATAATTGGTGTCAATTGGCTGTCATTTTATCGTAAACATCCAATAAAATTAGGCAGCGGCTTAATGAAGGACCAGGCGCCTTCTTCAGTAGTTTATCAACAATTATAAAGGATATATTTTTTCAGCACAAACCGGAAAAAGGAAATGCTTCTAGATGAAAAAGCAGGCGCTCAGTGAAAGAAGTGTGAACACCATTTCAGTGCACACTGTAGAGTTAACCTAGCCAAGAATAAAAATTATTCACCCCACACAAAACAATAGTGACTCACACCTAAGGTTCTAATCATTGCTTTAATAGCAATATAGCCTTGCTATGGCCTTAAAGTGAAATATACGGTCGACAAACATTTTCTTCATTCTTGGACTACCTTGGATTACAAACTATGAGGAGATATAGATCTTGTTTAATAGTATTCAACGAAGCTTAAACTTAGTTACTTCTTAGAATTGGATTGAACGCTATTTACTATTGAGTCTTGAGCAGCCAAAACGTAGGTCAGTGGGGAACGGTGTGTCATGCGTATGGTAACTGGGATATGCCTGATGCTAAGGTCGCATGCCGTCAACTTGGCTTTACTAAAGCTGTAGGAATTTGGTACTATGGACGAGGGACGGGTAAAGTATGGTTAACCAACATGCAATGTACAGGCTCAGAGGCCTCGCTTGGAAGCTGCACTCACCTTGGATGGGGAAATGTTCACTCTAGCTGCAATGGTCACACATATGATATTGGTGTTTCATCCTTTTAAAGGTATCTCGCGATAAGTTTTTATGAAGTGAAATAMATGAATTTTTGTGACGATTGCGCCTATTTTTCTTTCTCCCTTGGTTTAAACCCTAAACGATTATAACCATGTTCTTACAAAGCGCCTAACCATTATGATCATCAATGCTTCAACTTATATTAATTGTTGCTGAGCATTAAATTTCGAAGTAACAGACTAAAAAGTGCTTCCATCGCGAAGTTAGAATGCGAAGTTAGAATGCAATTCCTCTGGCCATATGATTTTCAAAAGGCAAACTCTATTCTTTTTTCTTCTTTTTTCTTTTCTTTTCTTTTCTTTTTTCTTTCCTTCTTTTTGTTTTGTTTTCTCTATAACGTTTACCTCCTTAACGTTGGCCATATGCTGTTTGGTTGTTCATCCCTGTTTCTTAGGGCAACCATATGCAGCAACTCAAATAGACGCTTAACGACAATTCCCAGTGGCTAAACCGGTAATTCGCCAATGGGGAACTGTCTGTGATGGCAGTTGGAGCTCAGATGATCTGAATACTGCTAAGGTTGTATGTAGACAACTGGGTTTTACCAAAACTGTTGGATATTCCTACCGCGGACGAGGGACGGGTAAAGTATGGTTGCATGGCGTGTGTATTGTTCAGGCTCAGAGGCCTCACTAGGAAGCTGTACTCACAATGGATGGGGAAGTGTTAGCTCTTACTGCAACGGTCACACATATGATGTTGGTGTCGTGCTGGTATTGTATTAAACCTTATCACACTGTATTAATGAAGCTCAATTATGTCTAAAAMAAGTGATATAATCTACATAGACATGGCGATGGGGAAAGTGTTTGTTTGTTAATGCCGCTTTAATTTGATTGTTGCCGTGCAACCCACAGGTTTAGAATCCTTTCTGGGAACGTGTACGCATAGTGGATGGAAAATGATAACACATTCATATGTAACAATCATACGTTGGGATTACAATTTGGGATTAATTTGCACGATTGTGTTCTTTTGAAGATTTGACATTGCACGAGAACGTCCAGGGTCAATGGGGAACAGTTTGTGGTGACTGGAGTGACTGGGATATGGATGATGCCAAGGTTGCATGTCGACAACTTGGTTTTACCAAAACCGTAGGATTTTGGTGGGGTGGACGAGGGACGGGTAAAGTATGGTTGTACAACATGCGGTGTACAGGCTCAGAGTCCTCACTTGGAAGCTGTACTCACAATGGATGGGGAAGCGTTTGGTCTGGCTGCAATGGTCATACATATGATGTTGGTGTTGTGTTGTGCATTTTAAATGCATTAGTTAATATTGCAGTTATAATAGTTAAGTCTTTGTTTATTTTATATATTACCRAATTGGAAATTTGGGAATATTATATATAAGTAAAAAGATTAATGGTGGACTAAAATTTATAATACTAACAAATGCCATGGGCAATGTTAGGTTTCGTGGTTGCATGCAAGAATTTGGACAACTTTTACTGAAACTCTAATAAGATTTTGGTATGCCATATTTTGTTCAAGTTCAAAGACCTCAATTGGAACTTTTCATTTAAATTTTTGTTTAACATTGTTGTTACTGATTTTTTTAAGTGAAATTTAAATGTAATTTTCTTTTTTTGACATACTGGTCTAAGATTGAATTAAAAAGCGTGAGTGTGTATAAACAGTTCTATATGAATGTAATGAATTATTATTATTATTTTTTAAAACTGTGGGTTATCGAGAATGTTGATAACAATTTTGTAGGATATATCCGAAAGTGGCTAGACATCCCGGTTTGTGGAACTCATATTAATGTTTTTCTTCCAGTCAATAAATTTGGTTTAAACATAAATCATCCATCAGTCAAGTTCACTCAATGCCAAGTCGTTTTAAGAAAAGTTCTCAAAACCTCCCCTAATGAAGACATCAAACAACTCTGGAAGTCCACCGCAATTCATACCAACATTCAGTATGATAGATTTAAGTCCACAAAAGAAATCATCAAAGAATTACATAAAGGTCTAGAAAACAAGTTATGTAACGAACTATCTTCACAAGGTCTATTTTTCAGAACTATATCAAAGTGTTCTCTTCCTTCATTGAACAAAGTCTGGTCACTAGCACAATGTAAACTACCCAAAAACATCTATAACTTCACTATCCGTTACATCAATAATACTCTTCCCACAAGAAAAAAATTGGTCAAATGGGGCATTTCTTCGTCTTCAGATTGTTACTCGTGCTTACTGCCAGAATCTGTTCTTCACGTGGTTTCTGGGTGCAATTACTATCTAAATAAGGGTCGCTATACTTGGAGACATGACTCCATCTTACAGTCCATTGCAAAATCATTGTCAACAGTCAAAGACGTCACACTCTATGCTGATCTACCAACATTTGACTCTCCTTCCATTATCACCGGAAATAGTCAAAGACCAGACCTCTTAATAACCAACTTGAGACGCACGCCTAAATATTCTCGACTTTCACATCCTCATAATGCCTTGCGTTTTGGGGGGTAAGCAATCAAAAAACGGTCGCAAATTGAAAGATTTCTTAATTGAATTTTATACTACACCTGCTTTTATCTGTACAATACTGATTATCAGTTTATTCCAAGTTATTTTTACGTGTTAAGATCGTGAAGAGTTTTGGTCTTACAGAAAATGTGTTGACTTGCGAAAAAATGTTTAATAATTACCTTAAACGTCTTCATTTTATCTTTGAATACCAAACAAGGTATTTTCAACATTGTCTGATCAGCCTTCAGCAAAATAATTGGATTTTAACCCTCTGGTAACCCCCCAAAGACGCAAAGGATTATGGGGATGTGAAAATCGAGAATACTTGAATTGACAGTCGGTTATGAATCTAACCTTGATAAAAACTTATTACGTAAACAAACGAAGTATAAAGAACTGTTGAATCCTAACAATGTTAATGATTTCAAGAAAATTGTTTTTATAAATTTGTCAATCAGTGCGTTAGGAGGTTTTTCTTAAGTGTCAACAACATTTCTTGAAATGCTAGCTGAACTTGGTTTCGATGATAAAATCATTCAGTATACAATCAAGAACATTACATCGATTGCAATAAGAGCAACATTGTTGTAGGAATAAGGAACGGTCAAATCCTGAATTGTTAAACTATTACTTTCTTGATAATAATTTGTTGTGCTTTCTAATGTTCGTTTGATTGTATTATTCAAACTTTTCTTCTAATCGATTCAAGTAAAAAATKTTGAACTGCCTAGGTTATAGTGATAAGGTTATAGCTTACAGTTGTACGTAAGAAAAATTAAAATATAGTTTACATTATTATTATTATTACTATTATTATTATTAATTGGAAGTCGGTCTCATTAGGCATAGGGAGAAACGCCTTAAAGCCCACAAAAGATAGAGATAAATAAAATGCAATAAATGAATAATAATTTTATAGAATAATACTAGCAAATGTCAAGGGAAAAAAGGCTTTGTTGTGCTATCACAATATATCTGATATATTTTGTTTTTTGTTAATGTTTTTTTTTGTAGCTGAACTGATATAACACCATATATTACGTGGTTCTAATTGTAAAAGAATTCTGTTTTATCTGCAGAAAAAAATTTGTTTTGAATAATTGAGTTCTGCATAATTAGCATTAGTTTAAGAAAAAGTTAATGATAGGTATCATATTCATTAGAGCCAATGTTATGTTGTATTCCATCAGCCTTGCGGGAAGCTCCGCTCAATCTATTTACTTTCCTCTTTCTTTCGTCGTCTTGCCGACCTGTCAATCAAAAAACTAAAGACATTTATCTAAAATGATACCTATTTTAACACATGCCCATAATCCTGAATAATGAGATTTATTTTCTTGCCACAAAGGGAATAGCAAGATTTTGCTAGGAATACGTCGTGCATTGTGCATCAGGAAAAGAAATCAACGGTACAATGTCAAACAGGAAAGTAAGTAACAATTGATTTCKAACCTATTCTTTTGCCATTCTTAACGGGACAAGATGACTGTGTGACGTTTCCATGCCCAGATATGGCCATTATATGAAGATTAGGAATGCCTGCATTTGACATCACTGTGATCGATGTGGCTCGGACTGAATTGTTACTGTATGTGCGGGATAATTTGGCCTCTTTACTGATCTCTTTTATCATTGCGTCCAGCTTATTGACGCCAAAGGGCCTGTTTTCGTACCACAGGTCGTCTGTTGGAGACCAATTTCTCTTTGGATACTGGAAGAGGGATTCGCAGTTTGAATTGGTGTTTGACAAGTACAAGCGCAGAGCTTTGTAGCCGTCGTTTGGGTACTTAGTTTCATACAATCGAGCTTTTTTCTCTGAGGAGTTTACATCATTTAAGACGCCCGAGTGGTTCTTGGTGGCTATGTCGTCATTGTAGCGTAGTGTCGTCCGCTTGTATCAACTTCAAACTTCAAGCTTGATGTTTTTAGCTCTTGGTGGCCTTCTCTTCCTCTCCGGCAGAAAAACAAGATCAGATGGAACCAGACATTCCTTAACAGACTCCATGGATCATTAAGGGAGATAGCTTTGGAAGTTTTCAACTTCAAATCGATCTTGATTTTTTATGACTGGCTTGTGTTGTGTATCCTCCGTGTTTTTTCGCTTCATTTGCTAATTTTCACAACCGATCGCAGTTGATCTTAGTTKACATGGGTTATTATTGTTACTTTAAGTAAAGATAATAAAATCGGTTCGTATAATCCGCGTAGTGGTTAAACAGARTGCAATGTTTGTCCGAATCTTTAAGCTATTTTTAGAAACAGTGCGCTGCGCTATTGGGTCTGGGGTATCCATTTATTGGTAAGTAAAATTGAGTCTTAACCGCATGCATTATGCAACTGTCTAGAACGTATTATTATTTAAAAAGAATTCATAAGGAAAAGAAGGACGAAGCTTTGAATATGTAATGCTATACTTTGTCAATGGTTTGCGAAGCTAAGTTAAGGAACTCGGTTAAATTGCGTTTCCTCTCTGACAAACCTAACACTATTCATTAGCAAGTATATATACAAAGCATTCGCTTCAAAAGTAGCCATATCTTTTACGCCTTACTTTATTTAGTCTCATGTGAAAAAAAACATTGAAATGGGTTTATTAGTGGTAGGATTCTCAATAAAAAACGGCTTTTTAAAAATAATGACTTTTCGTAATTAAGTAGCTTTATACAAACATACCTTCCGGCCCGGACGGCGATCTTTACCGTATCGCCTATCTCTACTAAGATGCACAATTTAACAATCTTCCAATGACCTTTGATCTTGTCGGGTATATATGCTATTATATGTCTCTCTGTTTTGGTCGACTGGAGCTCATGGTTAGAGGAGGACGTAGAAGACCTTTACAGTTTCCTTGCAGTTTGAAACAAACACGAATTAATAAAGTAACGGTCATGGTCTAGGAAAATCATGTGGGACAGTCTGTGATAAAAGCTATTACTACAATGACCTGGATATTGCAAATATCCAGGGGTAACAGTGTGTAACCGGGGTGCCTGGGATATGCCAGATGCCAAGGTCGCCTGCCGTCAACTTGGTTTTACCAAAACTGTAGGATATTGGTACTGGGGACGAGGAACGGGAAAAGTATGGCTATACTACATGCGATGTACAGGCTCAGAGGCCTCACTTGGAAGCTGTACTCACAATGGATGGGGAAGTGTCTCATCTAGCTGCAACAGTCACACATATGATGTTGGTGTGTCACTATTCATTGACTTACAAAGTATTGTTAACACGTATTAAACAACGTATTGTTGTGATTCCAGTTTTTTGCATTAATTCTATTGATTTCCGGTAATTTATATTATTTTTTATAAGCCCGAGTAGAACTTTACCTTCGTATAACACGTTTTTCAAAACTTTGGACTTTTAAATAGCTTAAAATTAATCATTTAAAGTTTGAATTGTTATTTTTCACCCATCTTTGCGTGAAAAAAATAGAAAGTAAGAAACGCGTATAGGACAGTAAGCAAACGAAAACAATACATACAAGGCTAGCAAACAATAATCAGTACACTCAGTTTCAGGGGAGTTCCGATTAATAACGTGCTATGCGATGCATAGAGCAATACCTAAATCGAATTACCAGTAAATACAATGCTAGGAAGCTAATGGTCTTCAATAAACCCATACAAACCAATTTACAATTTAAAGTTACACCCCTGCCATAAACAGGGCCATGCAARTCATGCGTGGAACAGTATGTGATAACACTTGCATGGAGGTCTTAGTTGGTTGAGATTATGAATCGTTTTCAGGGGGAAGTTAATCAGGTCATTCTTATTATAATATCAGAGTTACAAACAGAGGTCAATTAACGAATATTCTTCATAAAACGTTTTTAAATCGTGCGATAGGTTCCGATGGTGTCGAAATCACATATATTGCTCTCTCCAGTACACTGTACAGCTAAAAAAGATGGGAACAATCTCCTGGRGAATGAGTATCGCATTATAATAATCGCCTCTTGACACGACGAACCTATGCAATAAAATAAAAGATAGAAGATTGAATATTATATTTTCTGTAGAAAGGGTCGTAGATGCATGGCAGCGTTGAATCGATAGAGTCGAGTTGATTAATTGGCGTCGTTACTAAGCACGCGCTTGTTATGCAAATACTAAATCAAACTTTACAATATTCGAATTACAAAAGGGACATTAATAAGTAGCTAATCACTAAAATAATCATGCGGGAGCAACATTTTTAAATAAAACCAAATATTAATAACACGTGGGTAGCAATATATTTAGGTTTAGTAAAAATACTCAGGTGACTATAGAAAATCTCGCGCGCTGATTGGTCAAGAAACTCAAACTATCACACGATAATCACCTCGAGCTAGAGTCGAAAATGGCGGTCAGCCGCTTTGTTGCTGTTACAGGGAAAAAATGCCTTTTATTTTCTTTTTTTTCTTTTTTTGAAAGAATCACCTGTGTATTTATACTCGCGTCTCGGTAAATATTCCCCGATAATGCCTTCTGCGAATAATTGTTAAATAGTGTTTCAAGTAGATTAACATATGTAAATCACATTCTCGATGCATGCGAATAGAGTCAGAGCACGAGGGTAGCGTAAGAGAAAAGAAGCTGGTTATTAGTTTTACTTAAAGAAGACTTTCATTCAATAATTTTATATCTTTCTACAGATAATACTGATAATCTATTTAAATATCGAATGAATATGAAATTATACCAGATATTTAACTGTTTATTAAGCTGTTCAAGCTAGTATGATTATACAAATGAGCTAATATATTTGTGTTATTGAGATATGTTATTATATAAAGACCTTGTTTTTCACTTTAAAAAGCTAAAAAGAAATATTCAAAAACATTTACAAATGCCAATTTACTGACAAAGAAATTAGTCATTTTGCATTGAATTTTGCATTATTTTCTATTTTGTCTAAGTTGTTTTTTCACAAGTTTAAATCTAAAATGTAAACTTTGTTTTTAGAAAACTTTTCGGTCGTTCGTGTCCGTTTCTTTCTCGAGCATGAAAACAAATTAAAAAATCGTATTTATCAATCAAATCTCAAATCTAGTATTTACAGCTTAAGTTCTCAAGCTTATCGAAAAGCAGTTAAGGAATTGTAATATTTGAATGAAAAATTAGGATCAGAAAACTATTTTTTAGCTGATAGATGACACATTTGGTGACAATTATGATCTCCAGCCAATTTCCTACCAAATTATTTTTTTTCTTAATTTCACAGCGGTAAAAATAGGTTCTTATGAAAACCTAAACTCATATAATGGATAACCTAACATTGTCATGTAAAAAAAGTAAAAGTACTGAGCTTTTGTTTTGCTCACCTTTGCTTAAGCAGTTTTCTAGTCTGCCTTTATATGCCGTATTCATTTGTCCATAAAAACTTAGGAAAACTTCGAAATTTCGATTTCAGTGAAAGACATTCAAGGTAAATTTCACTGAACCTGATATTGTATTGGATTGTCTTTCGTTTTTTAAAGTAAAATTAACCAGGAATTCAAAGCTGTCGGCCATGGGAAACTTTGTCGAAGAATTTTCCAAGAACAAAACTAGCCCCTGGGGGAGGTGGTGGGTTGTGTACAAAGTTCCTTATTGGGAGAGTATACTCGCGCAAAGAAAACAATGTAGTGCATTTCGATTTCACTTCATGGMTTTTATTATGGGAGTCAGTATCTTCAAAAACGTTGTGCGTCGGGCGTTGTGTGTCGTGCATTTTAAATGCATTATGATTAAATATTACATATTAATATAAGTTTCACAGAACGTTCATTGGCTTTACAACTTAATTATAATTATATACATTTTGAAATGTTAATGATTCCATTTCATCTATTTTTGCCATACGCCCAATTTGTATCCAACAAAACGGACAGACAAACACATTTTTTAAATAGACAAACATTTGAATTCTATTAAAAGAAATTCTGGTGAATTCCGTGTTACTGGCATTAATTAACGGCGGGTAGAAAGTAAATTTAATTTTGAATAAACCATAGCAATTTTGGTATCTTCAAAGGATGTTCATATTTTCCTTCATTTGCTTCGATTAGCTCGGATAACAAGAAAGTATTACCAGTTATCCAACCATTAAGATATGTATATCGCGTTTCGTAGTACCTTATTGCATGAAATTTGCGACTTCCAAAAAATAAGTTCAGCTTCTTCGGAGCATAGATTCACTAATCACAGCGTTAATTCAACAAGTGATATTATTTTTCATTGAATCGTTAGGGCAAATATATACGTAAAGTATGGCTAGACTACATGCGATGCACAGGTTCAGAGTCCTCACTTGGAAGTTGTACTCACAATGGATRGGGAAACGTTGACTCTAGTTGCAATGGTCACACATGGGATGTTGGCGTCTCATTACTTTATCTTATTGTCGCTTGGTCATCTAACAGTTGAACTGATCACAATCTGTAATGATAACGCTCTTTTTTGAAAAACTGTTTAGTTTATGCTTCAATTCATCTGAAACTGCAATTATGCAATTGGCCTAACTTTGGCTCTTTTTATCACGTAATACACAGMTGGCAAGTAGTGCTACCAGATGTGTAAACTTTTCCATATTGTTTTTTGATATGCTTGACTTAGCAAAATATAATGATAGCATATTTTCTGGCTGTTAATCCTTTTCAATTATTTGAGCAACTATATACCGATGTTTTAATGCGATCCATTATGTCTAAAACCTAAACTTTTTGGAGATCAAGGTGTCGGCGGCATTATACAAGTCTACCACAGTGGTCAGTGGGGAACAGTGTGTGATAATTATGACTTTGACATGAGGGATGCCAAGGTTGCTTGTCGACAACTCGGTTTTACCAAAACTGTAGTATAGGATACTGGTATTACGGACGAGGGACGGGTATAGTATGGCTGTATTATATGCAGTGTTCAGGCTCGGAGTCCTCAATTGGAAGCTGTAATCACAATGGATGGGGAAGTGTTAGCTCTTTTTGCAATGGTCACATATATGATGTTGGTGTTGTGTTGTTATTGTTTGAAACCTTATCGCACTGTAGTAATGAAGCTCTATTATAGCTAAAAAGGGGATTTTCTACATAGTCACGGCGATGGGGAAAGAGTTTACTTTCTTATTGCGGCTTTCCATAGGTTTAGAATCTATTTTAGTAAGTTTTTTATAGCCTTTGATATCTTTATCACGATATATCGACACTTACGTTCCATTTCTCCATTATATACTTCTTGTGAACCGCCACTTGAAACCTGTTTAGAGTACATTCAGTCCTCTTTAGAGGCGTGTAAGATCGAAAGAATGGTAATCAATGTAATTAACGTTTATTTGAGTAAAGAAAAGCAAGGAGCGAGTGTCACAAGTTTCTGCAGCTAAACAACAGTTGGTGCGAGACAACAATAGGAAACAGTTTGCCCCGGTAGCTATGTTTTAAGGGACCTGCAAAGGTTGTAAGATCTTTTTTCATAGATAGTAAACTAATTATTTCCTCACAAAGACAAACAAATCTCAGCTTCTTCAAGGTATAGCTTAACTAATCACAGATTGAGTTATGATTGGCATTAAAGATCATTATACAAGTCTACCACAGTGGTCAATGGGGAACAATTTATCAATCTGGTTGGTTTGATATGAGAGATGCAAAGGTTGCATGTCGACAACTTGGTTATTCCAAAGCTGTAGGATATTGGGATAATGGACGAGGTACGGGTAAAGTATGGCTGGATTACATGATATGTACAGGCTTAGAGTCTTCACTTGGAAGTTGTTCTCACGGCGGGTGGGGAACGGTCTCTAGGTGCAACGGTCACACATGGGATGTTGGTGTGCCATTATATAAGCTTAAACAAAACATATAAATATCATGAATTCTATTACCTTTCAGTGATCTCAGTTGCTGGAACTGTTCACATTCGTATTTTATGCTGGAGGTCAATCAAAGCATTGGTTGTTTTGAATAACGGATTAGTTTGTGTTTCCTTGCACCTGAATATGGCTCGTTTTRGATGGGGAAACGTATGAATGAATGAAACCTTTATTTAAAAAAAATAACACCAGGGTAGTTCCTTCAGAACTAATAAAAAGCTCTGCCATCAATGGSAGCCCTGGCATAAATTACAAGTACAAATAAATAGAAATACTTATAAGGGTAAGGTAAGGTCAACTTTATTTACAGACGCTAGCCTAAATCGACAAATGCTGGTTTCCATTAGGGGCGTGCCGCAATAGAAACGCTTTAAAAATATATACATAAAAGACTAAT